ATATATATTGTACTTTAATTTAATAAATATGTGGTTGCTCTGCCCCCTGCTGGTTGTCTTGCGTGCTGCAGGCTGAAGGAGCCTCCGCAGATGAAGGGCTGCTGGGAACCAAACCTGAAGCTCCGTGAGGCTCAGAGAATCTTCGAGGACCAGATCATCGGACCTGAGTCCATCGCCAACATTGGAGGTCACTTTGTTTGTGATTTACGTTTTTTAATCTTCATCAGGAGTTCCTCAGGGTTCCATCCTCGGACCTCTGACTTTTATTTCTTTAGAGAATTGTGAGTCAGCGACTGGAAAGATCAATGATAACGAAAATAATTATTCGATAAATGAATTGATAACAACAACGATCAGAAATGTTTGTTTCTTATTAAATGTTTCCTGCTCAGAGATGAAGTTCGTGAAAAAAGACTGAGAGCTGAAATTGACTTAAGTTTAACATTAGGATTAGTTAAGTTTGACGGATGTTTGTCTCTGCAGATGTTTTGTTCTCAGGAACAGCTGATGGGAAAATTGTGAAGCTGATTGGTCGAAGAATTCACACGGTGACGAGACTTGGGAAACTTCCCTGTGGTGAGAGAAAGATTCAAAAATCAGTTAAAGGTTTGATCAGGTTTAGTTTAAAGTTCAGTAAATTTTAATTTGAAGTTTGATTCAGTTTAGTTTGGTTCAATGTTTGGTATTTAGTTCCTTTGTATTTCATTTGTTTAAAGTTTTAGTGTTTTTAAAAAGACAGGGTTAGGGTTAACTTTAATCAACTTTTCTATTAAACAGATTTTAAAAGTGAAAATGAATTTAACTGTCTGTAGATGAAATTGTTACGTTGTCATGACGCTGTAACGCTGTGGTGTTCGTCTGTACCTGCAGGTTCCACAGATGAGGAGTCGAGCTGCGGTCGACCTCTGGGGATCAGAGTCGGACCCAACGGGACTTTGTTCATAGCCGACGCTTACCTGGGTCTGTTTGAGGTGAATCCCACCACAGGTGATTAAGTTTAATATTTATACGTACGTGTCACCACAGTAGGAGCTCTGCCCTCTCAGCTTTGTCTCGTCTCAGCAGGTGAGACAACCAGGTTGGTGACGGGCGGTCAGGTGGTCGCCGGCAGGAAGCTGTCGTTCATTAACGACGTGGCGGTGACGCAGGACGGGAAGAAGGTGTACTTCACTGACTCCAGCAGCAGGTGGCAGCGCAGAGATTACCTGCACCTCATCATGGAGGCCACCGCTGACGGACGGTACAATGCACCGAGAGCGGGAAACACACTTGTGTCAGAAACTAGTAACGATTAATGTTTACACCCAGCACATGTATTATGTCTCCACACTTGCGACACCTAGTGGCCGGAGGCATTTTGTACTCGGTCGTCAATATACTGTAAAATCAACCTGTAGAATGTTCAAACCTTATTTTGTAGTTTCACTTCCTGCAGGTTTTTCCCACTTAAAATCTGGCACAGCATGTGGTTCAGTGAAATGTTAGTTTAGTTAGTTTGGTTTGGTTTAGGTTCGTTTACCTTGCTTTAGTCTGGGTTAGTTTAGGTTAGTGTTTCACATTGGGCCCTGTTGTGTTGTAGTGTGTTGGAGTTGGACACAGAAACCAGAGAAGTGACGGTGTTGATGGAAAACCTGCGATTTCCAAACGGAATCCAGCTGCTGCCAGATGAGGAGTCGGTGTTAGTGGCTGAAACCACCATGGCTCGGATACGCAGGTACGTCGCCTCGGTTCAGACGAGGGTCACACTGACTCCCCTGCCTCCTCGGGGAGTTCAGACCTCGTGTAGCAGAGTTTTAATGTAAAGTGTCCGAAATGTGTTTAAACGTGTCCGAGTTAAATAAAGTTTATTATTTATTATCAGTAATATTATAAATCTCCTCCTGCCATTTGGTGTCGGTCATGCAATCACTGAAGCTGTGACATCATCAGTCACCTCCTCTCAGGTTACCATAGTTACCACACAAACACTGGTTGCGTGCATGTGTTTCTGGAGCAGAGTGCATGTGGCCGGGCTCAATAAAGGAGGGATGGACACGTTCATGGACAATTTGCCCGGTTTCCCTGACAACATCCGTCCCAGCTCCAGCGGAGGTTACTGGGTTGCCATGTCGGCAGTGCGGCTGAACCCCGGATTCTCAATGCTGGACTTCCTGTCCCAGAGACCGTGGATCAAGAAACTCATCTTCAAGGTAAAAACAAGACACAGACCATGTTAAGATCCAAATCCAGGTTTAGATCTAGATACATGTTCAGATCCAGGTTCAGGTTCAGGTTCAGATCTAGATCCATGTTTAGATCCAGGTTCAGATCCAGATCCAGGTTCAGATCTAGATCCATGTTTAGATCCAGGTTCAGATCTAGATCCATGTTCAGATCCAGGTTCAGATCTAGATCCATGTTCAGATCCATGTTCAGATCCAGGTTCAGATCCATGTTCAGATCCAGGTTCAGATCTAGATCTAGATCCATGTTCAGATCCATGTTCAGATCCTGGTTCAGGTTGACATTTATATCCAGGTTCAGATCTAGATCCATGTTCAGATCCAGGTT